GTTGGGGCCCTTTCTGCGCTCCGGAACGCTGCAGAGCAGCTTTCAGCACGGTCTTGGAGTGACAGGACAGGTGGGAATGGTTTCCCACTGCCAGAGGGCAGAGTTAGATGGGAACTTCCCTGGGGGAGATCCTTCTCTATCAGGGTGGGGAGGCCCTGGCACGGTGCCCAGACAAGCTGTGGTTGCCCATCTCTGGMAGTGTTCAAGGCCAGATTGGATGGGGTTTGGAGCAGCCTGGTCTCATGGAAGGTGTCTCTGGCCATGAAAGATTGATGGGACTGGACAAGCTTTATGGTCCCTTCCAACATAAAGCCATTCTGAGATTAAATAATGCTTGACTGGCTTTTCTCCACCCAGTGTTGATTCCTTCTCCCTGTCGCCACCCAATTCCAACTTTTCTGATGAAGCTAAAATTGATTTGATATTACACACTTCAGTGAGAGTTAATACTTAGGTCATGTTCTCTGGAACTTTGTTTTTTTTCCTTGTGTTTTATAGTGGGTAGAGAAGATTGCTGAAGTCTGATCCTTGTCCAAATTAGGTGGTTGAAATCTGACTTGATAAGCTGGATGCACTCACTGGATACTCTGTTGTGACTTCTTTTTTATGAGAATATTCTGAGCAGAGATTTAGTGTAATGGATTTGTATAACTAAATTTTTCTTTGAGATAGGACATCAGTTTTATTAGCAAATTGGCATCTTAGGTCATGCTGAGATCTGGATTACTGATGTATCTTCCATCACTGACATAATTTTGTGTGGAAAGTTTCCTTTCTATAATAATGAATTCTGACTCTTACAGAGAGGCTTACTCCTCTCAGCCCATGGTTTTTAAGAAATTGCATTCAGTTTAAATGTTCTTTTAGGATTCCTCAAGGTACTTACTAATTGCTTTAGCTGTCTTGTTCATGTCTAATAGAGTACATTTCTCTGTCTTATCCTGTTCATAGAGACATAAAGTTGTGTGTGTGCACTTACCAGCAGCACCAATGTTCAGGTCTTGACTGTGACAATTACTGCTGTTATTAGTGTGGTTCATTAACCTCTTGACATTATGGGTACCAACTTACGGGAAAAGCCATTTATCTGGCAGCCCAAAAAGGTTGGTGGAGTGCTGCTTCTGAGACCACTGGTTCAATTTTCACCTTTACCCGAGTCCAAGTTTTTACTAGTGGCTTGAGCACTTAAATCTGATTAAAATATGATTTAGAGAAACACCTGCTAACTCTTGACTCTTGTGAGGGCCCTCTGCTGCCCTATGGATGGTGGTGATGAGAAGAACCCTTGTACTGCAGGAGCTTCTGGTCAAGCTTCTTTCTAATTCTGTACAAATTTGATGTTTAAATTTTATTTAGAGAAGAAACTTTRAAGAATAAACTTTAATCTATTCTAGTGAAATTCTCTGGTTTGTTAAAAATGATGAATTTTAAAGCAGGATTTGTGTGGTGATAGTTCTGGTATTTTTCTCCTGGATAAGCTTTTAAACAGTCCAGGAAATACTTCTGTATTTTAATATCCTGAACAATACAATCTTATGTTACCACACCTGTTGGCTGTATATGAATGTATATGAAACACCAACATGGAGAGGGAGTGGGTGCTAACTTACACTTTATCTTTTTTTCATTCACTTTACATGATTTGAATCTTGTGTGTTGAATAATGCACAGAGTTGCATGAAAATACTAAATCAATAATTCTCAAGCGTTTATGCTGAAAGCTTTTCCATGAGAATCTTGAATGTTTTTTCTCTCTTCTCCAAACATTACAGTTCCTTATGGTTGCATATTGCATTTGCAGACTCCAGGTAAAAGCTCTGCTCTCCATTAGTATCAGTAATTCCCAAAGCTCACACAGATTTAGCTTGCAATCAAGGCAAAAACAGTCAAAATGCTTCTCAAATGTAGAAGACTGTTCAAATCTGCATTGTCCTATTTGACTGAAAGAGCATGCAGCTTAAATAACAGCATGAATTTATGTAGGAAGTGAAACTGGTATTAGTTATTTTTTAAATTAATCTACTGAGTTATTGCATTAGGATGTTATGCAACGTCAGTCTAAGTCTGTTTTGTGAATTGTGAAATAAATTCACCTTGAGAAGAGGTGGAGCATAGTTTGGAGCATAGTTACTTACAAATAATTGTTCTCCTGAAGAATGAAGTACAGGGAAATGAGAGTTCATTCCTTATTTGGATGGTCATGTTGGAAATAATTAATAAGAGAAGTCCTAGTGCTGTGCTCTGGTTTTGCAACTCTGTGCTTTTGTGGACCTGAATGAAAAGTAGGGCCAGGAAATTCTGAGGTACAAGTGTAGTAGCTGTGCTTCAAATTGTCTTCTGTGTGAAGAAACACTATAAACAGACTGGAGCAGACTGGTTTCTGTGGACCTCTTGAAAGGAACTTGGGAGATTGGATTCGTCCAAAATCTAAACTGGAAAGAATTCAATATGAAGCAAGAATTATAGAGTTTATGCTTGCCATAACTAAGCAAACACCTGGCAGAAATCTTTTAGAAACATGCTTACCCATGGTTTGGAAACATGGGGCTTAGAAATGTGGCTTTKCTCTTCTCCTGTCTAACTGATGGGAAGTACTAAAGTTCCTAAGGTGTTTTCAGTGCTTTATCTTGAATGTGTAGAGACATTCATAATGTAACAGCTAAATCAGCTGAAGAAAGCACAGGTTACACCTGCAAGCAGGCTGGCAGGCAGGGAGAAAGGGCTTTTATATTGCACATGGTTTCTAMTTGGCAATTTGTATTATAGTGCAGTGCAAGTAATTTAACTGCTATGCATTCTATTTCAGTTTCATAAGAATGGGCAGCATTTATCCCCACTTCTAAGAGTTGAGTTTCTTCACAGATCTTACTATAGAGAACATGATCCATAGCTTTAATTCCCACAGAAGTGGGGAATTCCTCCTTTGAATCCCATCCCACTCTTTGAGCTGCGTGTTATTTTTGATGTCTTGGTGTTGCTAGCAGTTCACAAGTTGTCTGACAGTAAAAAGGAACCTTGCACTCTATTGTGTAGTACTCCACAGGTCTGGTTGTGACATTGTGTTCATTTTGGACATACCTTGAACATGTATGAAAGACAAAGGATGATGCAATAAAAAAAAATTCTTGAAGGAATCATAAGTGAAAGTATGTATATTCATAAAACATTAGGAGAGAAGCCATGGTAGTTTCTTCCACAAGTTTTCATTTGAAGGAAACAAACCTGAAGACCAGCAATACCTGAAACTGTACATGTGCAATAGCTACAAATGACGGATGGGTTCAGGATTTAAATTTTGGGTATAAATAACATGCTGGTGTTAGAAATTATTGTTAGGAGATGAGAATGTATCCTTTTCACAGTAAGTGTTATACCAGAGTTAGGTCACAGGAACACAAATGGTTTTGCTTTATAATGGTTTACACAACATAGTATTTGAGTTTTGCTCAATGCCTACACTGTTGAACTCAAAAGGTGTTTTGGGTTTGGACAATCTGGTTTGATGCTGACATTTCAAATCCTGCAGCTTTGTGTACATGTGAAAACAAGAAAGTAAAAAGAGGACAGATTATTTTAAATAGTGCGGATAGTTAAAATTGCATAAAGATCATGTTTTTGGTTTCTCACTGTTCACTTAATATTGTTATGGTAGTGTTTAAAAAATGGTCCTGAACTAGGGGGAGGTGAAATACTCCTTGAAGCAGTACATATAAACTCCATTCAGTATTACATACAAGTAGTRCATTGGTCTGTGCAAATAATCTTAGGGCTCTGAAATGTCTTATACTTTTAAGTTTGAAGGCTGGAACACTGCTCTTACTTCATTGCTTCGTGTCATCTGCAATGTCACATTTTTCAGGAGACTAAGTGAAGTACATGCCAGTGCTAGCTTTTTAGTATATGCAGTGAAACAGTAACCATTGTGTAAAATAATATCAATTTATATTGCAAAATGAGCAGCAAAACTCTGGATATTAAACTCAAATATACTGCTTTTATAGACTTCCTGATGCCTAATTTTACTGTGGTAGGAAAAAAACCCCATTTTCTTCATCTTGATACATATGATCTATATCAAAGTGGCCAAGTGCTTATGAAGCCTATTAATTGAAAACTTTCTATAGCCTTTTTATACGTTATCAATATAAGAATGTAATAACTTTTTACATATTAYTATAATACAAGGTAATAACTTTCAATATATTATTAATGATAGCTTTTTATATATATTGCTATAAGTTCTTTTAGTGGTGTATTAGCAACATCTAGTATACCAGCTGCACGTAATCTAACCAGCTGGATTAGTACATAGATAAGTGAAATCACCAAGAGGCATAAATCAGAAAAGTTCTGAAGAAAGTAGACAGGTAGATGCTATAACAAGGAACAGTAGCAAGCTAATGAGAACTTGGCAGAAGCATGGGACAATCAGCAAAATAATTAGAAATGACAACTTGGAAGACTAGAAAAAAACCATGAACATCGCAACTGTGCATGCCCTGAAGACAAAAGTTWAAAGTCCACCATGATGAAGAGGGTGGTATCTCATTAGAGGGAGACCCCCGTGACCACCGAATTGAGGATGACACATGTGCACCTGTAAAACTGTGATATCGTGTATTTCCGTGCCCATGTATAGTGGTAAATGTATGGTGGACATATGGGAAGCAGTGACAATGTTCATGTTACACCATGCTTACTGTATAAATATGTGCTAATTTAAAGCAAAGGCAGGTGGCTTAGGAAGAGAAATCGCCCTCCCCTCCAGTGCTGCAATAAACAAATACCTGCTCTATAAACACCGGTCTATGGAGTTTTATTTCCAGGCCTTTTCAGGCATCAATCTACTGTACACTTCTGTTGATGCCCAAAAAGATAGGCTATAAATAAAACCCCACAGGCTGGTGTCTGTAGAGCAGGTATTTGTTTATTGCAGCACTGGAGGTGAGGGGGATCCTTCTACCTAACTCGCCTACCTTTGTCAAGTGCTGTGACTTATGTATACAGTTAAGTATTGCTTAATATTGCTATGTCAGCATAAGATTATCATACACACTGTGGGGGCCAAAAGCCGGCATTGCGGCCCTGCAGGTTCTGAATTTGGACTTCAGCCACTAATTGTGTATCCCTGAGATGTGCTAAAAGCAGGGGCAAGTCTGAAAGCCTGGGTGGAGGGACAGAGGAGGACSTTAGGAAGGCAGGGTAGCMAAAYGGCYTTGGGCTGACTGTGATAAAAGGAAGAAGGAATGTTGAGGAGGAACAAAGCCAGATGAGACAGATGGCAAAGACAAAGTAAAGGAACTGCAAAGCTAACTGGCACAGCCGCTTTTGCAGCTATTATGCACCAATCATATGCTGATAAGTAGAGAAYGGAATGCTATTTAGCCACCAGACAGCTGCCATTTACACAGAAGAGTTCGTATATGAGCTGTACTAAACAGATTAAAGGAGCTCAGCCCAATAAGAAAGAGATCATTTGCTCTTTGCTTGTGTTGTGTTTGTCCATCTCTACTGCGACATATGCGTCTGGAACTAATTGACATAATGTTATCTCATGGTTATAAATAGTTCCTCTGTACTGCGCTTGCACTTCTCCAGTTCAGGTGGTCTTGGGGCTCTTCTTCGATGAAGGCTCAGGGTSTTCCTTGCATCTGAAGTTTTTAACTTTTCCTTTGGAGCATGTGCAGTTACAGTGTTCCTTGGGCTTTCTGGATCTAACTGGTCTAAATTCTTCATTTTGTGGCTAGTTGGCTTTACATTTGCCAATTTCTCATTAGTACTTGCTGCTGTTTCCCAATATAGCTATACTTGTCTATTTTTTAAGGTTATCCACCTGGTGAGTTTTTGCTTATTTAAGCATTAAACAACTAGTTTAACCATATTTAGCTAGTACACTGTATGGAAAGCTATTACACTGTATAAAAAGCTTTTAAATGGTATAAAAAGCTATTACACTGTATAGAAASTCTGGATCATGGCTTTCAACTCAAACCACATAAGCATCCTGTATCTTTCCCCAAATTATATAGGCATCACTGTTAACCGTCAGTTTATACTAACCAGCATTTTTTCTTTTGTCATTTACTCAGGATATATGACTCCAAGCCTGAACACGCAAATACATTCCAGGTGGAGAATTTCCAGGAAAATTACCAGAGTTGAAAAGCTGTGTGTCCCAAAATTATTCACATCCATATCTCCATATAAGTATCATCATAGTTGCCTGGAAGAGAAAGCCATAGACAACTTAAAGAGTGTTCAAATGCAAAAGGATTCATTCTATCAGAATTAATGCTGGTTCCTGTCTTACTTTTACTATTCAAACATTTTTGTCTGTGCTTTCAGTTTGTTGTATTTTAAAGTCCCTGAATAGCAGTAAATGTGTTCCTGACAGTACTTGATAGAATTTTAAACAATGTTAAAAAATTCAGGCATTGATAATTATTGTTCCAATATATATTATACAGTTTTAACTGTTTCCTATAATCGAGTCTCAAATCTTTAAATAGAAAATTAATGCTTGTGTTTTTAAAAATAAAAATAATTGAAGCAGTTTAAGGAGTGGAAGCTTAGGAACTAAATTGTAGGGAAATTACATGGTCCGATACTGAAAATGCTCCACAATTACATGGACTTTGGTTTATCTTACAGGCTGACAAGCTGTAGCATTTATCTGATAACAATAATTTCAGACAGTGTTGCAAGATACATAAAAATAGATGTGGCCTGTGTGATTGGTGCCTGATATATTTGTGTTTGCACTGTCAGATACACCTGTACCCTGCTTTGTGCCACTTTAAAATATTTATGTATTTTAAAGTAAACTGCAATGCATATTGGCTCATTTTTCCCCACACTTTGTTGGCCATGTAGGCTGCTGCCAGTGTTCTCATTTGTCAGCACGGGAATACAGGGCCTGTGTGCAGCACTGAGGATGAACCACAAGGATTATTTCTTTTTCAATAATCTCACGTAGGCCTGCTAAACTTTAGAAGTATTACTAATAATTTTTACAGAATTACAGGAACACCTTCAATACCTGAGAATCTTTTATACACAATACCTTAATAAGCAGAGTATGTACCATGGAAAACCTACAGAAATGCAAGTGTTTGTTGAGGTCCTTGCACCTTAACAATGCCGTTTATGCATGAGGGGTGCAAAGACCAACTCAAGAACTTCATTTTCTTTGCCTAAAACCGTAAGCCTATTGTTCACAAATACTTGAAGAAAAGGCCGTAACATACACAGTTTGTCTTAGTTACATAATGCAAACTCCTAGGTGGGTTATTTTTTTTTCCCCCAAGATTTTTTTTTGTTTTCCTTGGAGAAGAATCACTACTGTACTGAGTTCAGATCCTCATTATTCTACAGGCTGGCATCTGTCCTCTGTAATTTATTACAAAGTGAAGTTTAGAGCTCTGAATAGATCAATTTGCCTTCCTTTTTCCTCTGAAGTTGCAGGTCATGCCCAAACAACAGCTGGAAMTTCCCACCGAAGTGGTTGTGTAGAATAACAATGGAAAATATTTTTTTCACTTCTACATTTTCAATGAAAATCATCGTGTGTCCTATGTGGTATGTATCTGTATTATTTATACACAGTCATYGCTACACAGAACTGATTGTACAGTGAATAAAGCGTTTGCAAGTGCTTGAGGCTGCCCTGCTGAGCAGTTGGTGATGACAGGAAAGATACGTGCTAATGTATTTACAAACAATTCGACGGGTGAAGGTACGGTTGTTGATGTCTTTGAAATGAGTCCTAATGTCTCTACCAACTTCGTGCCGCACGTTTGTTACAGAACCCAGTCTGACTCCTGGTTCCGCACAAGCACGAGTTTCTGAACTTTGGGGGAAAATGACACGTTCGAGGYGGGGTATGTGACAGGCGGCTCGGGAAGGCTGTACCTTCCTCGTACCTCAGCCAAGGGCGAAAGGAAGAGGKCAACATGCGGCCGGGAGTTTAGAMTAAAAGGAGGCTGCGTCCTCCCAAAGCTCGTGAGAGAACACTCTGGGGGCTTGTGTCCGCATGGAGTCTCTCCTTTTATTCGAGTACAGTTGCAGGACTTCTCCGTGTCCTTCACGGACACTGGCTTTTCTTTCGCACAGTGACAAACAGCTTGTGCATTTCAAGAAGGAAAAATCGTTTGGCCGGCATAAACAGCACGTAAGGATTGGGCAGCCGAAGGCTAAATAAAATGAAACCGAGGAAGCAACAGAAAAACCAGGAGCTTTTAAGTGCGGTTCTCCGCGCCCAGGCCTGCCAGTCCGCTGCCGGGCACCGCCCCCAGGACGCCCCGCCGCCCGAGCCCGGCCCCGCCGCCCGAGCCCGGCCCCGCCGCCCCAGCCCGGCCCCGCCGCCCCAGCCCGGCCCCGCCGCCCAAGCCCGGCCCCGCCGCCCAAGCCCGGCCCCGCCGCACAAGCCCGGCCCCGCCGCCCAAGCCCAGCCTCGCCGCACAAGCCCAGCCTCGCCAAGATGTCGTCGGCGGAGCCGGGGCGGTTCTTCTGCACGGCGGGCCGCGGGCTGGAGCCCTTCCTCGCCCGGGAGGTGCGGGCGCGGCTGGGCGCCACCGAGGTGAGCGGGGCCGGGAGCGGTGCCCGCCGGGCGGTCCGGTCCGGTCCGCTGCGGCTCCGCGGGGAACGCGACCGAGGGCGGTACCGCCCCGGAGCCACGGCCTGGGCTGGGCTGTGCAGCAGCCGCGCGGGGCTGCGGGAGGGAGAGAGGACTCACCTGCAGCCTCCCGGCCGAGTCCCACGTGTGTTTTCCCCGCAGGTGGACTGCGTCTCGGGGAAAGTGTTCTTCAGGGCGGCGGCGGGGCCGGGCGAGCTGAGGAAGCTGCGGTCGGGGGAGCGGTTGTTCCTGTTGCTGAAGAAGCAGAGCCCGCTGCCGGTGTCCCGGAACAAAGGTACGGCCCCGACACGAGCTGCGCGGGAACGGCAAGGCTCGGTTTGAGTCCTGTAGTTTATGTGATACCTATAGTTTATGTCAAAGTGACAAGGTGCTTATGAGGCCTCTGATTGAAAACTTTCCATAAACTTTTTTTATACATTATCAATACAAGAATGTAATAACTTTTTACATAGTATTAATATACAATGTAATAGCTTTCAACATATTATCAATAATAGCTTTTTCATATACTGTTTTAAGTTTCTATATAGAGTATTAGCAACATACAGTATATCAGCTGGATGTAATCCAGCCAGCTGAATTAGTATGTAGACATGTAAAATCACCAAGAAGCATAAATCAGAAAAAATTCTGAAGAAAGCAGACAAGTAAATACTATAATAAAGAACAGTAAAGAGCACTAATGAGAACTTGGCCGGGGCACAAGACAGTCAGTAAAATAATAGAAAATGAAGACTTAGAAGACTAGAAAAAAAGTACGAACAACACAACTGTGCATGCCCTGAAGACAAAAGTGATGTCCACTATGATGAAGAAGATGATATCTCATTAGAAAGAGACCTCCACGACCACCGAATTGAAGATGACACATGCGTACCTGCAAAACTATGATATGTATTTCAGTGCCCATATATAGTAGTAAGCATTGTAACAACAGTAATGTTACACCATGCTTACAGTATAAATACTTGCCAATTCTAAGCGAAGGCAGGTGGGTTAAAAAAAGAAATCTCCCTCACCTCCAGTGCAACACCTGTGCTGCAATAAACAAATACCTGCTCTATAGACACCCGTCTAGAGAATTTTATTTCTAAGCCTTTTTCAGGCATCACCTAGTTACAACATTTGAGGTGTAATTTTTTTTTGCTATTGGCTTTAGTTCTAATTGGCCAAACAGACTGTGTTTCTCACCCAGGTGTGTTTTCACCWTTTTTTTTCATCTGAAAAGGGCTTTTAAGTTGTTTTCAATAGCTACCTTCCAGCCTGTATTCTGCCGGCACTGAATGTGTATCTGTATTTTTGAGACCCCCTGCCTAGCCCCAAAAAAGAGAAGAATAAACACCCCACCCAAAAACCAAAGTTCAGTTCTGGATTTCTTGTGTTTATTTTAATAAKAAGTCTTATTTTCTGTTGGGCTAAGTGGATCCCGTCCTATATCCTGTGTCACTGGACTGTTCACTACACAGATTCCTTTTAAGTCTCAGCTACTTGGGTCATCCTCTTTGTCAGTGTTAGAATGAGAATTTCAGGTTAGATGGATTGGTATCTGCCTGCTGGTAGATTTTTATTTGGGAGATTACCTTCAGCTTTGAGTATCAAATTTGATTATGATGCTAAAATTTTAAGTAAAAACTTGAAAGTTTTTTTTTTTTCCTTGACCAGCTTTGAGGTACGTAAGTGAATTGGCCTCTCTGTTCCTCGTACCTCTATTGTGGCTAGCTTAGGACTGCCCACATGTGTAAGTGTAGATGTGTGTTGCGGGATTGAAGGCAGGGTGATGAATGGTGAGCAGAAATTTTCTTTCTGAAAGAATAAACTTGTGGGTTTTTGCCTGAGCTGACTCAAAGTAATTAATGTTTGTGTCTGTTTTTCAGTCCTGGAAAATGTCTTGCATCTCTTAATCCTGGGCTAAATGCYTTCTGGGGAGGATGGCATGGTAGACTGGTCCTCTCTCCCTGGGAATGACTCTCAGAGGTGGTGGGGTTTCAAGACCTGTTGAATTCTTGTGCCTAATTCAACCCTTGCATGATTTAATCTTGGTTGTGCAGAGCTTGTTGTCAGAGGGATGCCTGTGTGTCTTCTGTTGGTTACGTGGGTGCTGAGAGCCCAGCTGTGCCTGTGGTGTCTGCTGCTGGTTTCTGGATTTACGCATTAATGAAATCCAAACAGTCTCTGTTAACAGCTGTTCTCAGTCTGTGGGGCAATGAAATGCCAAGGCTGAGCTACTTGACCCAAAACTGCTTTTTTCTTGCAGGGAAAATGCTGCATGAGATTAAAAGCCTTGTCATTGAGGAACCAAAATATTGGTTGGATATTATCTCTGTTTGGAGAAAGCTTCACGAGGGGAAAAAAGATGATGTCTTTCGAGAAAATGAATTGGCTCTGAAGAGRAAGTCAGAAGAAGAGACAAACATTGAAAGTAAAAGGCAGAAAACAGAGCACGTGAGAGCAGTTGTGTCTGAGGAATGTCAGGTGGAAGCTGGAGAGAGGTTGAGCGATCGGGAGTGCTGGACTGAGAGCGAGACTTCCTCAGAACTCCTTTCCAAAGGCAGTGGAGAGAATCAGACTGCAAATGAGCATCTTGGCTTCAGTTTCCGAGTGTCTTGTCGTTGTAGTGGAGCAATTGCCAAAATACTCACTTCACAGGTATGCTGATGTATCTGTGTTTTCAAAGAATTTAGCAGAGACGAACAGAGATGTGTAGTTTGCTATTTCAGTTGTTGTCGTGTTCTGGAATAATAAACTGATGTAAACTTTTTCTATATTTTCTCAAAAAGCCCTTAATCTGCATTCACCTTAAACAAGTGGATTACAAATGCTGTTTTTAATTTCTGTGTGCTATCACCTTTTTTTTTTCCCAAATCAATACCTTTTATTGAGGACAAGGAAAGGTATAAGTATGAGGTATCTGGGACTATGGAGGCTGGATAAGTTTATGCTACTTAAAGCTATTTGCAGCTACTACAGTTGAAAGACTGTGGAGCCAGACTCCTCTCAGTTGGGGCAGGCAGTGTCGAAGCAGGGGTAAAAGCCAGAACTTGCAGCTTCAGGTTGCCTCTAGTTGGGTATTGGGGAGAACTTTTTCTTCAGGAATGCAGCCCTGGGATGAGTCTTGGGAGAAGTGGAGCTTGGTCCTTGGAAAAGAATGGTGGCATAGAGACCTTCAGAGGTCCATTCCATCCAGCCGTCTTCCCATATGTGTAGGTTTTTCTTACTTGGAAGATATAACAGTAGTTTAGATTTTTTCCTACTAAAGCTAGTACCTTGCTGAGGTGGGACACATGAGCCTCTTCTACAAGAGGGCAGAAGTTTGCTTAAACTTGTGCTGTGTTTGAACTCATGTACTCTGAAGATAATCAGAGCTTTGTAGATGTAATGACAGCATTAAAATTTTGAGTTGTAGTTGTGCGTTCCCAGGTTTTTTGTTGGGTAATCTGCTTTAGAGCCATTAGAAATACTTTGTGCATGTGATTTAGAGTTCTGATGTGGTGGCAGTCACAGAATATTCTGAATTGAAAGAGAGCCATAAGGATCAAGTTCAACTCAAATGAACATTTTATTGTGACTGTCAGGACTTGAACTTCAGCCTCTCTCGCTCCAGTTGACTGTTGGTTGGTTGTCATGTGGTGTTTTCTTTGCCCTCGTTCACGTGCTCTGCCCTGTGGTACCTCTTCTGGTGTGAACTGTGTGAGTTGTTCGCTCAGGCATAGAGTCTTTCTTTTCCCAGGGATTTCTGAGGGTTGTGCATCCAAGGTTGCAGTCTGCAGTTTTCTGAATTCTGTGKTTTTTTTATTGCCTGTGACTGTTCTCCCCTGTAGGAGATTGGAAGAACCATTGGCATAGCACTTGTGAAGCAGTGCGGGTGGCGTGCTGATCTGCGGGACCCTGACCTAGAGGTAGTGGTGCTTGTCTGCCTGTTGATGCTTCCAGAATCTCCCCTGACACTTTTTGTTTTTTCACTGCCCTTCTTGATACATGGGACTGTGGCCTCTCCTTGTTGATCTTTCTGACACTGAATTTAACGGGCAATCAGCTGGTAGCTCTGAGCAGAACGTGTATGCAGCCCTTCTGTGTGCCCTTTCCAGCGCACCGGAATAAACACCAGCCTGGCCACATGGGCCTGCACAGGAGGGGAAGGATGTATGGAGGAGGTGTTTCAGGATCCAGCACCCTTACAGCTGCTGGACTCCGGACAGTGTGAAAACGGAAATCATCTGAGCCATGGGGCATCTGTAGCCTCTGTAGAGGAAGAGAGCAAGCAGCAAGGACAAGGAGCTAGACTTGAGAATGCCATTTGTGGAAGAGCTTCCTCCTGGACCCTGTCCTTGGCAAAGAGCTTGCTTAGTGCACCCTTGATGGTGCAGGTTCCCTGGAGACCTTGGAAAGGACTTCTTGCTCTTGACAAGCTGTTTCTCCTTCCCTGCACTTAACTTCTTGGCACTGATGGTGTGAGATGTGAGCTCTGTAGAAACTCTTTGAGACCATCTACTGGCACTGATTTTCCCACACGGAGCATTACGTACAGCTTTGGTGGCTCATGTGCRGCTCCCTTTCTTGGCCAGATTTTTGCTGTGAAACTGTTCAAGTGCTGAAGACTGGGATTTTTCAACAGCATCATATTTCCCTTTGGGCCTTCTGGGGGCAGGGATTGCAGTCATGCAAGACTAGCTGGGGAGTTCAGTCTTTGGGTTGCTCTCTGTGAGACAGCAGAACAATTTCTTTTCGCTCCCTGCATTTCTGGAAGAATTGCTTATGCTTAACTTCCATCTGAATTGCCCCTTAGTGGCACTAGTGAGCATAGTGGTGGTTTTTAAAAATTATTTTGTTTTTTTATTTATTTATTTTGGTGCTGCTATACAGTGAATCATATTCTCCCCCTCAAGTAAATGAACTTAGAACTGAAAAATCCCTGCTTACCAAAGAAATAGGTTCCCTTATAAATTCAAGYACTTGCTGATGGATTCCTGGTTGACAAAATCCCCTTTAGGCTGCTTAAGCATTAAATCCTCTTTAAAGTGGCATTCAGATTATCTAGTGGGATTTCTTCCAGTTAATTGTAATTGTTTATAGTGTGCATTTTTGTTGTTAAAAACTAAGATCAGAAGTTTGTAGATGCATCTGTGTCTGATTTAAGCGAGTTAAAGCTGTTGTTGTGTCACTTGGAGACTTTAAAAYGTTGGGTTTTTTTTCCTCTTTTAGATCTTTGTACATCTTAATGACATTCACTCTGTGGTGGGCATTCCTCTTTTCAGGTAAGCATTCTCCCCACCAGGTTTGTCTTGGTAGTATCAGAACAGGCAAGATTTGTAAATCTTGCCGTTCATCATGAGTATTTCTTTTGGTTTGATAATCACTGGTTGTCAAATTAGTCTTGTGATCTGCACACACAGGCCAGACCTTGCAGTGAGTTACGGTTAAAAGCAGACTGTTTTCTGTCTCTTACTAGATCTCTCCAGTTCATTTGTTCTTCCGATGTTATATGAGCTTTTCTGGGTCGTTCTACTGTGGTTTCAGTTAGATTTTTATTTTGTTTGTTTTTTGCTGTCTGCAGGCTTCCATTGGCAAACAGAGAGTATATCAAAACAGCAGGACTGCGGTCAACAGTCGCATGGGCCATGGCATCTCTGGCTGAAATCAGTGTCAGTAAATGTTTCTTGCAAAGATGCTGAGTCCTGAGTAAAGGGGAGGGGGTGCTGCTCATCGGGGCTTGAGCTGGAAACTTTGAAGGAGTATAGTGGTTTTAATGCCCCAGCCTCTAACGCAGGGTCTGCCATATCTGTGATGAGAGTGTGCCGTCACCTGCTGTTCAGCCAGGTATCTGCTGTAATTCCAAGTCCTTCTCAACAGAGCTTTTGGTCCTTGTACAGATATATGTCTAAATGGCAAGGTTTTTTTTCATTGTCCAGTGACAGTGAAAAAAACGAAACCTTGTTTGGGGTTGTTTTCCAAGGGAATGTGATCTCTTTTCACACATCAGTTTGGTACAGGTATCTGTAAGCAGTTCACTTGTAATGTTTCCTCCAGAATGTCACCTCAGGGCTGAATGCATTGATGTACTGTCTGTAGTAAAGCTGTTGATTCTTTTTGCTATATTCTGTTACAAGCAAGTTTGTCCTGGGATTAGCAGCGATTATTGTTACTCTGCACTGAATTCAGTGGGATTATGTACATCCCTCTGTAAGCTTTGTCCAGGGAAAGGAGTCTGTCTTGCTTGGGATGCARTAACACCTTTCTTTTTGTAGGCTGGTGCCTTTGTGCTGGATCCCATGTGTGGGCTAGGAACAATACTACTAGAGGCTGCCAAAGAGTGGCCCGTAAGTATCCCAGTTGGCTGGGCCTTTGTAGGGAAACTGGTAGTTCTGATACAGGGTTTTCTCTGTACCAGTTAGGCCAAAGTCCATTGCTGGAAGGATGAAACCAAACTGATCTTTCTAGGCTGTTGCTAAAAGTGTTTTAGTACAAACATTCCTCCAAATGTGTCTTACAGGCTGGTTCTGCTGTTGATTCACACTGCAGTGTTTGTGTAAGGCACACATGAACTTGTAAAGCTTCCTGGGCTTATCCTGGGATCAGAGGAGTCAGTGTGATGGGACAGTCAACATTAGAGGCAGTGTGACTGGCTGTAGCTAGCTGAGGTCTTGCTGTTAGGACATACCCTTGATATTTCTGTAGTTTCAAGAATCTTGAGCAGACCAAAACATTAAAAGAGTGAAGACAGCACATACTTGCTCGATTCCTTCACCCTCTGGGTTGTGAGTTGCTCTGTGTAACGTTATCCCAGAAAGASGGTTATCTTGCAAGAGCTGTGCAACAAGGCCGTTCTGAGAAGGGTTTATAAAATAAATAACCTGGATATTAACAAAATTACTTTTCTCTTTCTCTCTGAACAGGAAGCCTGTTACTGGGGTGCTGATATAAGTGATTCGCAGTTAGAGGGTGCAGATGGAAATATTAGAACTGCAGGCTTAATGGATAAGATTGAGTTGCTTCAAGCTTCTGTGAAAGGTATGTCTATAGGCTTTCCAAGTGACTTTCTTTGTGTTTCTGTGATTGTACAGGTAATGTAGGTTTTCTCGAGGTGTAACATTGTAGAGCTAACTCCCAACAAGTGATTGAGTGGTGACTCTGTAGTGCTAGTACTAGTGAAGGACTAATTATTTGTTCTTCCTCCCTCCTGCCTGTACCTGGGAACTTTGGTAAGAATGTAGTCAGCAGAAGACAATAAAAACGGTAATTGTCCATCAGGGACAGTAGTTGTCTTTCTTAATGGTATATAYGTGAATACCACAAAGAGTAGGTACTATATGGGAGTTCTTCATATCTTACTGGAAGACAGCCAGGACAAACCCCAATAAAATGCTGCCCTGCATTTAACTTTAGTTTACTAGGTGGGTAATGGTGAGGACTCATTAGGCTCAGCTGAATTGTTCATGTTTTGCAGTGGAAGTATTTTGAATGGCAGTGCCTTTCTCCTGTAAGGGAATCTGTTTGGTCTTAATTCACAAGCTAGTCTGTAGAGAACGTAATCATTTTATGACCTTATTCTGGACCTCAGAGCCCTAGGCTAAGTTATCCCTATATGAAATTCATGACAGGCAAGCTGACTGTTTTTCCCTGTGCATGAATGATGAAGTCTGCGTATTTTTTTATGTTGTTTAAGTATTTATTTCTTACCGGGAGGATAAGAAACATTATTCATTTCTATGAGAATGTAATTTATTTCTTACTTAAAAGCTGTGTTTGAGTTTGGTTTCTATGATAATGGAAGGCACTAAGGTGTCAGACTTTCTAAACCAGACAAGTAGTTGGTCAGAAGCTGTTATTTCTGCATGTCTTGAGAAGGACTGTAGGTGACATGTCCTTTCATTTGCAGATATAATTGTTATCCAGTTGTTTTGCTGCAAGTGTTGATTCAAGAATGATCAGGGAAACATCTCCAGCTAGTTCTAGAAAAGTTGACATAGAATTCCAGCAGAGTTTAGGTCAGAAGGGGCTGTTGGAGGTCTTTAGTCCTCTTGTCTGCTGGAAGTGGAGCTAATTCCAAAGCTGTGTCAGATTGGGCAGGGCCTTATCCAGTGAGTTTTGAGCACTGTCAGGGGTGGAGGACCCACAGGGGGTCCCAGGAAGGATCTCAGAGTGGCCTGCACAGCCTGGCTTGTGGCAAACCTTTATCATCACAGGGTGTTGTAGGGCATCATGGTCAGGAGAACTGACGCTGGGTTGCAGAAACTTYAAGAAGACACTTCAAAGACACTAGTTCTGACAGAATCCATATGATTCTGGCTGTAACCAGATTCTTTGCGGGGAGAAAATGGGGACGAAGAGAAATTTGATGCGGTTCTTTGCCATTCATACGTCTGCACTTGAACATCTGATGTAAGTAAAGTGCTCACAAACTTAGCTCTTCTTTTGTATTTTGCTAAAGTGTTTTCATGGTTAAGGTGTACTGTGTGTTGAGAAATGGCAGTTATGTTTGGAACCATGTAGTGCCCTCTTGGAGAGTCTTGCTGTAGGAGCAAACATCATCAGGAGCAGGGAATCTGCAAACTAAACCATGCTGTCATGGGTTTGTCTCTTCCCATTTGCAGAGGGATGGTGGCTTCACAGTGGTCTTTGTGAGGGCAAGTGCAGAAGGAGCTGTGAATCTGGGTGTGTAACCCAAWAGGAGCTGGCAGGCAGTGTTGTAAGGGGAATGAGAGCATAGCTGCTGTGTTTTTTTCAGACAGTCAGAGATAAAGACGTGCCTTTATTCTACCAGCATTGCCATTACCTTCAGAGAGCTTTGACAGTGTTATTTCGGACATTCCATTTGGGAAGAAGTTC